AGAATAAATTTCAATTTAACAAACCTGACAGTCCCTTTCGTGTTGAATGTATGGTATACAGGCTACAGCTGCAATACTCTAAATTTCAGCCAGGACCAGGATCTAGAATATAAAATAATATATAATAAAATAGAAATAGATTTATTATTAAATTTACGACTATTAAACTTTAAAGTTTAACACTCAAATTTGTTATTTAACTTATCTATATCACTATAATGTATTTTTTTCAAACTAATTAACACTGTATTATACTATCAATAAAATATAAACATAGTTATATATATTGACGAATCGTTTTGGGACGTAAATTAAGTGGGCCGAACTACTTTATAGGTTTCAATTTTAAAATTGATTAAATTCTAAATAGGATATAGTACAGACAAATGTTTAATAATATGAAAAATAAATTAAAGAAAGACAAGATTTGTAAAATCATAAATTGTCAATGACATCAATAACTTCTTATAAGGCCTTCCGAACCCAAATCATTCAATTAGGTCGCGAAAACGTGTCAAATCAACTCATTCATGTGTTTATATCTCTCATTTATTTCATAAAGTAAATTAAAGTAGAATTTAAAGAATAAATAATAATATTTTAGAAAATAATCAGTAAACTAAAGTAAAACATAACGGTAATACCTTCGAAATCCAAATAAATTGCCAATCGTGTTGTTTTCAAATTTTCCAAACAGCGCCACCATATGCACGAACGATAATCATAGACAACAAACAAAATCATAGACCGCAACAATTACTTCCCCTGGCCAGCGTTATTTTATAAACGGGGTTTTGACTAATATCAATTTATTAATTAATATTATTCATAAAGAACTAGAAAATAAAACAACAAACAACAAAACATATTAACAAATATTTAAAGCGTTAATAGGAAGTGAAAAATTATTTCCAACTTTATTTGTTTAAGCGCTAATTTTGAATATACGGAAAAAGATTGTAACGCAAATTTTCCTGAAAAAAATCACTTACAGACTAATTCAATAAAGGAATAATATCACAAAATTAGTGGTATAAAAGTTTATATAATGATTAAACTAAATGTAAAACTTCGACCATAAACAACGTTGAATCAACGTTGTATATACATTGGCAATATATCCGTATGGTCGTCCATAGTTGAATATTGGTTGAACAACGTCACGACCATATTTCAACGTTGTTTCAACGTTGAAACAACGTCAAGTGCCTGCTGGGTAAAGTTTGGAAATAGGAAAATGTTTTTACATGTAAAGAAGAACGTATGAAAGTTCAGAAAGGAACTTTAGAATTATACAGTATATAAATATTTATTACTTTTTAAGATTGCAATGTAGATTATTTTCTAATCCCGGAACCTTTATAGACAAACATTGCTAAATTTCTTACAATTTGTACTGAATGAGAGTTAAAAAAGTTCTGCAGTTTTATACATATTTGGGTTTATTACGTAATATTGGTTGATATATCACTCCCTAATAGAATTATACAATTTACATTCAAACAATAGGTGGAATTCGTCCTCTAATTTTTGACATGCTTAAAGGAAATGTTCTGCCAGTTTCTACACTTAAATGATGAGCTGACAGTCTTAATCTGGTTAAAGCTGTAAAATATTTACTTATGTTAACATTTTTTAGATAAAAGCTGTATTCAAATTTTGCAAATACTCTATAAAATCCTGCTCTTGATAATAAATTTATACGACTTGTCCATTCTTGAATAAAAACATCTGAAATTCTTTGTTTTAGCTTAGATAAAAACAATGTTTGGTTACCAACACCCTGCGTTAGCCAATTTTCGAAAAATCCTAAATTTCCTAAAACGTCTCTGACTTGAGATGCCCAGTTAATTACCCTTGGTTTTTTATCTATATCACTTAACATTTGCATGTAAATCAATTTGATATATTTTCGTTCGATACTACTTGTAACTTTTAACCAATATTTAATTATTCTAAAAATACGCTGTGCATAAAGATCTACCAAGTTCACCATAGATAAAATCATTCTGAGTAGAGGTTTTAACATAAAGAATAGATTTATAGAATAAAGAATGAATTCTTTCTATTTGTGGAGCTTTAGTGAAACCCCATACCTCCGAACTGTACAAAAAAAAATCGGTTTAAATATTTTATCAAAAAATTCTAAAGTGTGTTCAATTGTAATATTAGTGTATTTGTACAGATACATTCTTAACCTAAAAATCGCTTTCTGTGCTTGACCGGATAAAGTTTTATGAGTCTCACTAAAAGAACCACCTGTCGTAAAAACAATACCTAGATATGAAAATTTGTTAACTATTTCTAAAGGATATCCATCATAATAAAAGTTAAGATTTTGTGGCAGGCGGCCCCCTTTCCTGAAAACAATTACTTTTGTTTTAGCCTTATTAAGACATAATTTCCAACGATTACAATACTTATGCAAAATATTAAGATTATCCTGTAATTCGTCTTTTGAAGAAGCAAATATTACAATAACATCAGCATACATTAACAAAAATAACTTCAAGTAACCGATGTCTATGCCTATTATGATAGTTGTTAAGCATCGCGTGTTTCGGTTATTATTAACTTCTTCAGGATCTCTTTAATAACATATAAACATTTAATACAACTCCTCAAACATAAGAGATTAGTTGAAAAGATAGCTTGTCTGTGAACAAACGGTATGATTACTTGGCCTTAACGAGACTAGTTTAAATTTATTGTTCTTAGTTATCTCTAAATCATCAGATTTTTTTTAGTTTTTATTATACCAAATACCGGATCAATGGTAAATAAGTCTATATAACTTTTGTAAACACTATTTCCGTCCGTGCAACCTTTTTAATCCTTTAAAAAGTTGAAAAAACATGTTGAGCTAATAAACAGTCATATGTGAATAAGAGTCCCTATTGTCGTATCAGCGTGTGGTTACATGCCTGTAGATGTTAAAGTGACCTTAGGTCCATTTGAAAAACGAACTCCTTTGGCGGGCGGGTGGACGCGCGGCGTCCAATATTTTCCGGGGAATATCTTCTATACACATGAAGGAATTTTAATGAAACTTCATAGAAATGTTTACCACTATGAAAAGCTACTTCGCGCGCAGATTTCTAGGTTAAAGATAAAAGTCACACTAAGAGTTCATTGACAGACGTTTGTCCTAGAACATAACTCTTAAATGCATAGAGGCATTTCAATATATCTAAGAACAAATGTTCACAGTTGTAATGATGAGCATCGTATGCTAAAATCAGGTCCCTGCGACCAAGGCCAAGGTCACACAAAGGATACAAATTTCAGATAAAAATGTGAACTGGGACCATTAAGTCATCATTTACTGAGGGATTGAAACACAAATTGTCATTTCATGACTACGTACGTGAAACATGTAACTCAGCTTAATATTGCAAGGTCAAGGTCACTAAAGATGATTTAATATAGAGATTTCGTCCGGAATATATAGCCTACACACATGAAGGATATTTAATGAAAATCATAGAAATACTCACCACAATAAGAAGCTGGTCTCGCGCTAGGTTCTCTAGGTCAAACGTCAAGCTCACACGTAAAGGACATTAAAAATCGCTTGTCCGGAGCAAATCTTCTACATATATAGAGGGATTTTAATATTGCTTGGTACAAATGTTCACCATTGTATGACGGAGTGTCGCATGCAATATTTAGGTCCATGAGACCATTGTCAAGGTCATTACATATGGACCAAAGTTCAGATAAAAAAATATGAAAATGTGAATTGGACCATTTAGTCATCATTTTGGGGTTTTGAAACACAAATCATTTTCATGATTACTCTGTCAAAAGCGTATGTGACGGGCGTATTTTTCAACAATGTTCCCTTGTTTTATTGTAATGTTGAGCTGAATGGATTACATGTATATATATATTACATAATAGACTATTATAATGGTGAATTACCAACTGTTAATATTGAAAATTGTTCAGGATATAACATACATCTTAATCATAAGTATAAAAGGACTGTTCCACTCTTTTCATAATTTGAACATAGTAGGCACATTTCCAAGGATATTTATAAATATTACCTTTGCTCACAAGAGTAAAATATCGTTCATATTTCCCAAATATCCTGAAAATTTGCCTGAAAATATGTTTTGATGATTCCTAGGCCAAGTTTGAATATGGGTCACCTGGGGTCAAAAACTAGGTAAAACTGTTCAAATATGGAACATCATTGTTAACACATAGTGGTCACATTTTTGACTCACCTGTCATGAAACTTGGTCAGAATGCTTGTCTAGGTAATTGCTTGGATTAGTTCGATGGGTCAGTAGAACGATCTAGTGATATCTTGGACCTCTTGTTATCCTGAACATAATACATGAACGTATTCTTATACCTCTCTTTCTTGCATTTTTGCATATCTATAATGCCCACATCTCTATATATGGATATTACCTTTGGTCACATGAGTTATTTGTCGTTAAAGCGAAATAACCTATAGAATTAAAAGGAATTATTGCAACTGTTCACTTACTGTATATCCTTGGATGGGCATAATGTTTTTTCTTTAAAGATAAATTATGCCTCAGAGACGAATTTATTCTTGCATCTTTTAAAAAGGGCAACCTTGAGTTTTAAAATGTTTAAATATTGGTTTTAGGGCATGTTAGACGCGTGTAACATGTCGAAAATAGTACTTAATGTGAAACTATCTGTAAGAAAATTTCAAAAATGTAAACAAAGCAGTATTTTGACTTCCATACAAAATACAATATAACTATAACTGATATAACATAAACGTATACTTTTACCTCTTTTTCTTGTATATAATACATTAAGGTATTCTTATACCTCTTTATCTTGCATATAATACATGAACGTACACTTACTCCTCTTTATCTTGCATTTAATACATAAACGTATTATTATACCTCTATTTTCTTGCATATGATACACGTATTCTTATACCTCCTTATCTTGCATTTCACTGTATGTGAAAGAATAAAAAATCATCAAAACAACATGATATAGACACTTTATATCTTTTTTATTTTTATTCCATCATTAAGCTTTTTTTACAATTATATTATCAATATGCCAATTAATATTCTTTTTTCGCCTATGACAGTTCTGGAATGTACATGACGGGGTATGGTCAAATATTAAAAATATGTACTGTAAATGTAAATAAAACAAACCGTAATTAGGTAAAAGTTTCATTTTAAAGTTTGATTTAACAGATATTAGCAATAGAAGTTCATATCCTTTCGTTTGTGGTCAGCATCTATGGTGAGATTTATTTTCAAGCGTCCACTGTAAATACATAAATAAAGCATATTAGTTAACATATAGAAATCCTGTGCAAGCAAGAGATGTTTAAGTTTGTAATTTTGTTGCATGTTTTCATTATGTTTGTTGATTGAATATGGTCCCATCGACATGTAAACTTTATAAGGCCAACTGCACAAAAAGATAACAACAGTGTATATTTTAAGTTGAAAAACATTTCGGTAGATCATTGAAGTTGTAATCTTTACATTTGGCAGTTTTCTACCAACGTTGGACAGTTTTCACATCAAGACTATTTCAATTTGTTTGACGTCAACAAAATAAGGTACTAATGGTGGCATATGTCTGTCGATGTTAACCACACAATTATCGCGTTAACTATCTGACTAACTAGATAGTTTTCGTGTTAACAAGATAACAGATATTTATCAGACTAACTAGATATTTTTTTCTGCTAGATAACGAAAAAGTATCTAACTTCCAAAAACACTAAAAAGTGCCCAGAACTGCCAACACTTACCAGTTAAATAATAGATAAGTATCTGTTTATCTATAAAACTTTTGTGTTTGTTAACTTTTTAAGTATCAGATAGTTTTTGATATATCTAGATAAGTTTCCAGTTTAAGTCTAACCTAGAAAATTATTTCACTCAATTAACTTTTAGATTATTTCGAGTAACATAATACAATTATAACATATTCAATTTGACGAATTATAAGTTGAAACGTTATCCCTTCCATTTTTTTGCATTGTAAGGATTTGAAATTTAACCTGCGCTTAATTATAAACATAAATTACATTGCATACATAATAATATTGAAAATGTTATGAAACATAATGTAAATGACTACATGTATTTCAAATGATAAAAAGTATAATATTTTAAAAAGAAATTGATTTCATGGACAAATATAAAACAAATTACCACATGCAATCTTGGTACATGCAAGCACGCCGTCACTGCATGTACACGTATTACAGTCTATCTTTTTGCTCTTCGCGTCCGGAATGTTTACTTTTATTTTATCACTACCTTCACCAACTTCATAGTCACAAGACTGTCCTGAAAAATCACAGCTTCTTTGTGAATGTTTGCAACTCATCGATATTGAACATACATTTGGCAGAGTATTTTGTCTCTTTTTCACCCGCATGGACGGTTTGTGAGTACTTGGGTGCTTGTGTTTGTTTTGAAGATTTATCGTTTTAGATGCTACATCTTTTAGATATTGTTATCTAAGTTATCATTATACGTCACAATGTCTTTATTACATCAGTAAATGATCGCACACACAAATTAATGCTGTTGACCTACATCAAATTGCAAACAAATTCCGAAAAAATAGTTATAATTCTTTTATGTAAAATAAAAAGTCTCAGTTGAGTTGAGTCCCTAGCTTTAATGACTGCATAATCTCTCTCCTATTGTTTTGAGTGAAATTGACTCAAAACAACCAAAATTTTAAGCAAGAGGCCATGAAAAATAGCGTATGAATTAGTTTTTGACATAAAATACAAGATGTAAGGCAAACGTAATCATTTTAGCTTAATTAAGCACCTAAAACTCACTTTTTAAAGATGAATATTATCATTTTGATGAGTGTTTTTGTAGTATATACAAAAGTCCATGACAGTTATCACAAGCACCTAATCTCGTATAACAGTTTCTTCCCCATGGAATACATTCAATGGCAAAAGACATGACACATTTCATATCAAGTAGTGATTACATAATTGGGAAGTGTCTCGGATAAAATATTTTTATTTACAAATGAATTCTCTCGATAATGTTGTATTTCTATCTGATATGAAATGTAATGGTTGTTAAATTCGGGTGTAACCTGTTACGAAAATAACTTTTAGTTAAAATGTTTGTAAAATATGAAAGCAAAGATCAACGAGGCAGGGCGGCATTCAATGAACGTATCTGAAACCTAAACTTTTGGCAAAAATAACTAATGATATCTACATAATTATATTCGTCAGGCCTGAAAAAAAAACAAAAAACAAAAAAAAACATTTGTCATCAATTAAGTCTAGTAGGTATGAACAGGAGTTAGGAATACTAACGAGTAAACTCGTTTATATCCCTCGTCATATAATACAAATCACTTGACTCCAGATTTGTGCTATTTTACAGTTGTCTGTATAGCTAGCAGTACTTGAAAGAAATGTCAGAAAATAATACTTCATAAACGAACCAATGATTTCTTGTTCAACTATATATTCTACTCATTTTCTTTAAAGATATACTTTGCTCAAATTTGATAAAAAGAATATTGATAATTTCTACACAATTCCTTAGTAAATATAAAATAAACAGATTTGTTATATTGGTGGTCACAATATGAATATATAGTGTCATTTAGAAAACTGAAGTGTTTTTTTTTAAGAACAGCACAAATTTACTTGACCTGTTATAGGAAACACATCTTCCCATAAATAGTTTATTCATTCTTTTATTGAAGTTAGGCATATTCATAAAGAATTTGATAGATTTCAATAAATTTTTATCAAAATTAGAATCAACATTTCAATCATCTTTACCAGTATTACAAAAAATATTTCAAGGATATATTGGAATAAGCAAAATGTCCTTCAAGGTCAGACGATCCGATAATGATCCCGGTACTCCATCGCCCTGCCCCCCCCCATGCCGTTCCCCAATCTTTCTGTTTAAAATGATTCTGTTAAAATACTCAAAAATCGTGCAAAGTTTATATAATTTCAAAGCGAAGTTTTCATCTGCTTATATGTCTACATGTTAATGTGGCATACCCCTCTAGCATATCTGCTTATATGTCTACATGTTAATGTGGCATACCCCTCTAGCATATCTGCTTATATGTCTACATGTTAATGTGGCATACGCCTTTAACATACCTTTTTAACATTACCTTTTTGACATAAATGTGACACTGCTTCAGAAGATAATTATTTACCTGATGTCGCAGTCTTTAATCCATACATTAATCATACATGTATACAGCATGTTAGACAGCTAATAAAATGTATTTTTTTAATAACACTACATTTAATGCAAAAGGTCGTGGCAAAATAAAGTCTTACATATGAGTGAAATTCAAACTGAAAATGAAGGCTTGTTTTGGAACAGAAAGAAAAATTGACGTTCGAAATGGACAGTTATTTAATTTTGTCTTCTGAGGGTCATGGCAGACATGTTTTCATTACAATAACATTTCGTAGGCAATTCAAAAGGCATTCATGGAAAGCAATGTTTAATTATACGTCTGTGTTGAAATTTCATTTCTTGAAGACAATAGTAAGTCAGTCTTATTTCTAACAATTTTATGGGAAATAATGCTGGTCTAAAAATTGCGATAATATTGTACTAGTATAAGCTAGACTTGTAATTCTTTATACAGTACAATCATGTTTATTGCTCTTTTACAGAATATGATTTTTAAAAGAATATTCATTCAGAAAAAGGGTGCTTACATTATAATCCCGATAGCACGTTCTCTCTAGCTTCACATTTGTCGGACAGTTTAAACCTTTTTTCCGTCTTTCTATGTACGAACTATTGCATTATAACATCTTTTATAACATTTCATTCCGTTTCCTTGGAGTATTATCAAATGTTTTTATTTTGCATACAGAAAAAGCGAAGTTTGATTATATTTAATATGGTTTACTCTAATCATTCAATTAACTTCAATTTGTCGCCCATTTACTAGATAAAACTAAATTTGGTATACTGTTCTGAAAACATAACTTTGTATACATTTTTAACGTATTTATGAATCTTATGAATCTTTATCAAAAAAAATTACGGAATGATATAACAACTTCTCATTGTTCATACCTTTGCCTTCTTTGCATTTTGGACAGCATTGTCCGTTAGCTGGTGGCGATTTGTCACAATCGATTGGTAAATAGCATAAAATTAATGCGCACTTATTCACAGGGGTCCCATTGACAACCATTGTATAAGAAAGCAAAACAAATGCAAGCGCAATTTTGACCGAATCCATTTCTATTCCACCTTTGTCTGAAAACAAATTTCTAAAATATAAGCATTTCTTTGTATTTCATACCATCTATTCCTTATTATCAATGAGGTCCTTTAAATTACAAAATAAGTTAACAAGTATTGTCCGACTGTTGACAAAACAATTGTTTTACTTGTAATTTTATATTTTTTAACATAAATAATAATAAATACCTTGGTATCTCGTGTAGGAATTTTTATCCGAACTTTTTTATTCCTAACTTTTCTTACAGTTTTTTAATTACTTACCCCTATATTTTCCGAATATGATCAAACACTGAATCAACCTGTAAATTTTGACCTTTCAGTTTTAAGAATAAATCAGTCTTACAATTTAATATAGCAACAGCACGTTAAATGACAAGGTATACATATTGACGGTTGACGAAGCTTCTACGATACACATAATCTCACAACATCTGGTTATCTAGTTTATATGAAATTTGTCAAGCATCACGTATTACGTTTAACTTCTTTCAGATCCCTTTAATAACATCAACATCATTTCATGCATCTTCTTAAACATATGCAAGGACTTGAAAATATAGCATGACTGTGAACATAAAGTATCTTTAATAAATACTCGACCATAATGAACATAGTTTCATTGCTCTTAGTTATCTCTTAATCATCAGAGTTTTTTGTTCAAATACCGGCTCAGTGGAAGATAAGGTTATATAACTTTTGTAAACACTATTTCCAGAAGTCAGTGAAGTATAGTGCTGCACAGTAAAATTGTAAAAAAGAAGAAAACATGTAGAGCTAATAAACAGCCATAAGTGAATAAGAGTCCCTAATGGTGTATCAGCGAGTGCTTGCATGCCTGTAGATGTTATAGTGACATTTTGCTCATTTTATACGCCCATTCGAAAAAAGGTATGTAATACAGGAACGCCCCTTGCGAACGGAAGGGCGGGCGGCGACCAATTGTGTCCGGAGCATAGCTCCTACACACATTGAGGGATTGTTAATAAAACTTCAAAGAGCCGGTGTAAATCTTCTTCATCCCTAGGTCCCTACGGCCAAGGTCAAGGTCTCACATACAGTTCAATGTTCTAGTTTAGTTATCATTTATGGAGAGATAAAAACACAAATGGTCATCTTTATGTTTACGGTTGTGAAACATGTAATTTAGGTTTATACATGTATATGCAAGGTCAAATTTATTAAAAATGATAAAATATTAAGATTTTGTCCGAGCAAATCTTCTACATGTATGGTGTGTGATTTCAATATAGCTTCGCACAAATGTTCACCATTATAAGGCGTACAAAATTCAGCTCCCTTCAACCAAGATTAAGGTCACACATAGGAATCAACGTTTAAATAAAAATATGAAATGTGTATTGGACCATTAAGTCATCATTATGGAGGGTTTGAAAACACAAATGGTTATTATCATTACTTCGGACGTAAAACATGTAATTGAGGTTATTATAAGCAAGGTCAATGTTAAAATATAGAGATTTTGTCCGGAGCATATCTCCTTCACCCATGAAATTCAATGAAACTTCATAGAAAATGTTCACCACTATGAGAAATGTGTCGCGAGTATAAACCAGGTCTCTGGGTCAAAGGCAAGGTTACACTGAGAGGCCATTGAAAAGTTCTTGTCCGGAGCAAAATTTCTACATGTATGAAGGGATTTAAATACATGTTGTCAAAAATAATCATCATTATGAGGCGGAGTGCCACGTGCAAATTTAGGTCACTGCGGATAGGGTTAAGACCAAGTATAGAGGTCAAATTTCAGATAAAAATATGAAAATGTGTATTTAGACTACCGGTATTTATTCATATATCATTTAAGGGATTGAAACAAAAATGGTCATTATCATGACTACGGTTGTAAACCATTTTATTAAAGTTAATATATACAAGGTGTCACTGGAGATGATAAAATACCCAGATATTGTCCGGATAGTGTCCGGAGCATATATCCTATATATGTCTAAAATGCTCACATCTTTGTCAATTGATTTTGTGACGGACGTATTTGGCAAAAAATTTTCCCTTGTTTTATTGTTAAGTTGGGCTGCATTGACTACATTCATATACATGTATTTTACATAATAGGCTATTATAATAGTGATTTATCAACATTCGATATTGGAAATTGTTCAGGACATCAACATCAACATCCAAGGAATATTTATGGATATTATTTGGGACACATGAGTCATTTATCATTCGCGCGAAGTAAATTATTTTTTTTTAAGGAATTATTGAAATTGTTCACTCACTGTTTATCCTTGGATAGGCATAATGCTACTTTAAAGGGAAATTTTGCCTCAGAAACGGACAAATTGTTTACTTGAGTTTTTTAAATTGTTTAAATATTGGTCTTAGGGCATGTTTGACATAGTGCTAAATGTGAAATTATTTGTCACAAAAAATGACAAAAGGTTTAAAAAGTAGTATTTTGACTTCCATACAAAATACTAAATCAATATAACTGTACTAATTGTCAAAACAATATTATAATAATTGGTAATTCAGTACTTTTTTGGAAACTATAAAGTACACAAAAAATAAAAAAAAGCTTTTTAGAAAAAGAAATAAAATCATTTCTAGGGCATAATGATGAATTTAATTTGAATTTAATGTATTTTTACTTGACTATGTGTCTTTATTAAATTCTTTTACTTCATCTCAATAAAGAGTGAAATAAATACGCTCAAGGTTCTTGTTTACCATATTTTGTACTTGAAACAGACTGTTAATTAGTTTTAAGTTCATACCGTTATCATTTTTCTTTCAAAACATTTTGCACAACATTTGTATAATGTATAATTTTCACCAATATATTTGCTCTCTCTCTCTGCAACCTGTTTACGAAAAAACTTACATTACTTGTTCTAGACCTTATTCTAATAACACAAAAGAAAAAAATACATAAAAGCAGCTTTTTACAGTGGTATCATTTTTGTGAACTTCAAATTTAAAGAATTACATTTTATGGCGGGGGATGACTCACGTAAAATAAATGTTTTTTACAACACATGTGTGAATATTACAAATATCTAAATGTCATTTTGAGTTGTATATGTCACAGATCGAAAGAGTAACACGTGTGTGATATAATCAACCGTGAAAATGACATTTGTAATTTGTGATTAACGTAGGTTTAAACATGTAACAAAGATCTCACCACGGGAATGGGACCGCAGATTGCAGCGCATTTATTCTAATAAAATATTTTCCTAATATCTAAGCGTTTGCTTTTGTGTATAAATTCAATAGACGGTATATTATAAAACTAAAGAGTGATATCCACCATTTCTCGAAACGTTTAATAATTTTGTTTGAAAAAAGTGAAAAAAATGTGTAGCATTTGGACAGACAGTCTACCTTATTGCATGAAAATGAAAACACTGAAAATGGAAAAAAAGAAAAGGGGAATCAATAAAAAGGAATACAAAACGAAAGAATTAAAAGCAGGCAAAATATTTTTGTTTGGGCTTTTAATGGAATAGAAAAATAAAATAAAGAAAATAATCCATAAAGAACATCATACACGGCAAAATTGAAAATGTTACAGGTTTCGGTTTTATTTGAGCTTGTTCATGGACGGTCCTGAAAAATACCCATGTCAACCAAACTTGGCATGATTGTTTCTTTGGTATAGTGCTTCCAAAGTTGTTCAAAGAATGATTCTATGTATAATTTGTTTTTGCCATGACAACCAAATTTAATTATAAGAAAACAAATCTTCTACAGACCCACCAGGCCCAGAGCATAGATATTTTGTATAAGGCATAGTCTGTTGAATCTCTATCAAGATTTTTCAATTTTACCTTTTTCAAGAATAGGCTAAATCAAACTGTGCCTGTCTTGTTTGTGCAGTGTTAAGGCCGTAAAAAGTCACCGTGTACATTAAATCAAAGATGTTACATTGTCAATCCTTGAAAAGCGCTCATCATGACATAAATGTTGTTTTTGTGGTATTTTTAATTAATTCTTTACACTTGAACTTCCCGTAAAGGACACACGCATTCTTTTACTTAAGGCCAAATGCCTCTGTTCATAAATGGCAAAGACGTGTCCCTGATAACCGTCGTAACATTTCACCATTTTTTAATTCTACTTCAGCTGGTGTAATGGGGTGTGGGTGTTAGCATGCGCTCTCCTGTACCATCCATAAGTATGTTCAATCAAACCGCGTATGCATCCTTTTCCATAATACAGTTTTTGGCGTTAAAATATGTTTACTAAAATTATTGACATACCTCCAGCATTAACCATAATTTCAAAGATCAACTATATATTTTATATCAAATCTCAAAAAAAAAATTGTTGAATTATTCATTACTTCAGCATTTTACAACAAAACTATTACCAACACTAAGAAGGAAAAATGAACCCGAAGATTCTCTTTTTGATTGAATCTGTTCGTATACATTACTGGAAGGGATATAATTATGTAAGTCTCCAAATACATAAATGCATTTTGTTTAAACTATTCACTTGGTTTAAGAAACAACTGTTATTCGTCAATAGTGGGAATGCTTTGAAATGTGTAAAATTATCATTGTTTAAAATTGATTCCGGCATGTAAGAAGATTTTAAGTAAAATGTTGCGAATTTAGCGTTTCAATGGACTGTTTCATCATGAAACAGATTATTTTCCTCCCATTTTCAGCTAAACAGCGATTCAGATTAAAAACAAATACTTTTCAAATAGATATAAGGTCTAGAAGCAAAATTAAATTTAAATCACCACAAAAGCTATTTATTAAAGAAAATGTAGGATATTTATTCTGCGAGATAGCTTTGTCGTGAAGGAGGTAGTCATGTCGCCAAGACGATAGCTTTATGGTTTCAAAAGAACAAAAAATGATATCTGCAAAAAAATGTCAAAAGATTCCGATGTAAAAGATATATAGGATGTTGATACCACGGGTTTCATTATGAAGAAAGAAAGAAACTACTTGACAATATTTCCTTTATATTAGCAGTTATTCCTGTTACACCATTCACGAAGTGAGCTTACTTTTATTCCAACTCCAGGATGAGTAGTAAGCTGTACAAATGTGAACACTGTTTACAGATTTCACATTTCAAATGTACACACACAATTATCTAACAGGAACACATAATGTATACATTGCTCTTAACAATTTAGCATCCCTGAAAATTTGAAGCGTCACATAGTAACCGTTCATATGGGATAATAGAAATATGAATATGACAGTTGTAACAAGAAATATTTATTGAGCTTTTGATGTACTTGTTTTTCAAGCTTTCTGAGAAGACTTGGTTCCCTATTTAAAATGCTTAGGGAGTTTCCATTTTAGCTAAAGTACTAATATCTAACATTGTTTCAAGCTAGTCAAAAAGTTATTCTCCTTTTTCCCTTTTAAAACACCTTTTCTTTCTTCATTGTCTATATATATTTATAATGATAATTCTAACGCTCCCCGTGATTTTGTCACTATAAACAAAGAAGAAAATACTGGTTAAACTGACAATAAACACTGGTTAGGGACTACTTGTATATGTGGCTGTTATGTTTTCTTTCTCGATTATATAGTTCACAAAGCCTTTTTAAAGCAAAAATAAAAAACATTTTATTGATAATTTCAGTTCTTGTATTGTTCTCTTTTCATACAATAACGAAATAATAACTTACATACACTTACGCCACAGATTTGATCCATATCAGTTAATATATATTTTGACAAAACGGCGCCAATCCGTAAGCAGTGTAATGACGTCATCGTGAGTATACAACTCATTCATAAACGCTGACGTCATTTCAAACATACAAGAATGATAAATTGAGCACTGTAAACACAATACATAGAGGATATTCAAGTTTTTTCTATAAATACATGATTTATTTTCATAGAGTGGTATGAAAATAAATATTTCATGAGTGGCGGTAGCCACGAGTGAAATATGGTAATTTTCTTGCCACAATATTAAAATAAATCATGTATTTATAGAAAAAACTTGAATTTTCTGTTTATTAGATACACTTTTCTCTTTTTTGACATTAAAATTTGAAAGACTTTCCCTTAAATTTTGTGTACTGGCAGAATTTAAAAGAAAGTAGTCCGGCAAGACACCAGTGAAAATACGGAAAATATGTTTCACTGCAGTGAAAAATAAATTTTTACAGTGAAAATACGGAAAATGAAAATACGCATTTTATTCCATCAATATTTCTCAATATTTCATTTATAAGTATATAAAAAAATCTAGACTTATAAGTAAGTTTTTATTGTTGAAAACTTTATAAAATAACTTTTTTTTCTTATTATTTCGCTTGTTTCATAATTTCTATATCTTAGCAACAGTAGGGTGCGAAATCGAACAGCGTTTCACGAAAATCGGCACCGGAAGTAATCTCCGCTTGAAAAAAAAGTGATTTTCCTGATTTTATCTTGTTAGAATCGGAATAATATCGGTCTGAGTGGTCGTTTTGATGCGAGCAAATGAACCACCCAGGTGGTCAATTCCTACCCATCAACACTCCAAACCGGTGTTTAATAGCCGATAAACACCGATCAGACCGATATTATTTCTTAATTGAATCTACACATATATCTTAGAACTGTATGCTGTTTATTACATATAAAAAGTAAAAGCTGTGTGCAGTGAAAAAAATGAGTCGATAACAATTCAAACGCTGTAAATGTAATGTTTCATTACGCGATGATATACATATATAAAATTACATTTGTTATTGTTTTTGTTAAATTTTTGTGCCGTGATAATTGTTATGAATAGAATATACACAAACAATTACATACAATGTATTTTGTACGTAACCATAGAGCTGTCTCCTTAGCGACATGACGACTTGCTCCACGACAGAGCTGTCTCCCAGAACAAATATCCTATATTTTCTGTATTAACTAATGTTTTGATCAAATTTCAATCTTATTTCATTTATAGACCTTATATCTACTTGAAACGTTTTTGTTTTTGATATGAATCGCTGTTTAGATGAAAATTAAAGAGAAAATAATCTATTTCATGATGAAAGGGTCCGTTTCAAAATTTCTTAACTGGGAAACGCCTCCAGAACTACATTTCAAACACAATTATAACAACGATGTTTTTTTTTGAAATCATAATCAAATCTACCTGCCATTGTATTCTCCGAATTTCGATATTTGGTGAAGAGTTTACAAAATATATTTAAAAAATGAAAACACTTGACACCTGATTATTAAGCAAAATGAACTAGCTAGGAAGTAGCGATAGAGCGATTAACCGTATACCTCTAAAAGAGGTAGCTCTAAACATCGTTTACCAGGCGTGCTCTGACGTGTTAAAAATAAAAAACTACAACATAACATATATAGTTTATTAGCATAATATGTGTTTACATACATACATAGCCATTTACAATGCAAGAAGTACAGACATGAAATTTTTAACAGAAGAACATGATCAATTCAAAAAGGATAAGTATATTGATAACATGTACATTCAGTCAATTTTCAAAAAAAACAATACAAATTTTCTGCAACTGTGACTAGATCAGTAAATAAAAATTAACTATTAAAAACTGCGTTTCTTTGATCATTATATAGTATGATAGTATAAAATACTAAAGAAATCGCCAGTGTATTTAAACATTGTTATTGGTATTTCTTAGTTGAAAGGCAGAATATATGAATTTAGCAACATTGGTAATACTTTTTGAAAATTCACATGAAAGAAGGGTTATGAACTTTTGGATTGATGGCCATCTACAATAATATGGTTTAAAATATTTGGTTCTTAGTTCTCTATATTTCGGGCATACTAATAAAAAATGATACTCATTTTCAATCATGCGCATATTACATTCTTGGCAAATTCGAAGTTGTCGATCGACATTTGTGTATCTTCCAGTTTCGATAGCTAGTTGATGAGAAGACAATCTAAATTTAGATAATGCTATTTGATATTTTCTTTCATCTATACATTCTAGATATTTTTCAAGATAAAAAGTATGTTTAAATAGACAGTATGAAGATAATCTGTTAGAGTTGTTGATATTAGTGTACCAAGATTGTTTATAAATATCAAGGATTCTCTGTTTGATGAAATAATAAGGGATGACTATATTAGTTTGATTAATCCATATGTCAGCTAATCCTATTTCCTCTAGAATACGTTTTATCTGATAAGCCCAATTCATGTTGTTATATGTAATATTTTGATTAGCATCATTTGACAACATATCATAAACCTTTCTTATTAATACATTGGAAGATGTCAATATTTTAATCCAGTATTTAATCATCAATAGTTTTCTATATATTTTCATAGGTACTCTTCCAACCTCACCATACAGCCCTTCTAGATTTGTAGATTTTTTTACACCAAGCACCTTACGTAAAAATTTACAATGTATCAACTCAATAGCTTTTGATTCGTGATTTCCCCATATTGGTGCATTATAATTTAGGACTGATCTAACTAGGCTATCGAACAGATTACATTTATCTTTATTGGTTAATTCAATTTGGTTGAAAATAATGAACAAGTTGTGTAAAGCATATGATGCGTACTGTGCTATCCTGCTTTGCGTTCTGAACCAAGAACCATTTTTAAATAGGTGTGTTCCTAAGTATTTGAAGGATTTAACAACATCTAATTGTTGTTCACATAAAATAAAATTATGTTGTGTATGACGGCCCCTTTCGAAAATCATTACTTTTGTTTTGTCGGTGTTTATTTTTAGGCCCCAAGTATCACAATATGCTTCTAGTTTGTTTAGTAAATCTTGAAGTGCATTTTGAGTGTTTGCAAAAAGTACCGAATCATCGGCAAATAGTTAAATGAACAGTTTTAGCTCGTCTAGAGTAAATATTCCTTCGATGTCCGTGTTTAAATTTTCGACGATATCATTTATAAAGTATAAAAACATTAGACTAGAACATTAGAACAAACAGTGCAATTAGATAATATCTTTTTAAGATACACTTTAACAATTTGCTTGCTTTTTAGGAGTGCATATGTATAAAGGCAATAAGATAGATGCTTATGTAAAATATTATACGTGACTCATGGCAGTAATCATATAAAATAAATAAACAGATGTTGTAACAAAAAACATAAACATTTTAGATAACGCATATAGCCTCGTCATACCTGTTGATCAACATTAAATAAATATACTTTCTTTATTTTACGCTGTTTTGCTATATAATAAGACGGATATATCTTGAAAGTTGTTAGGTAAATATTTACATAATTGTTGTGTGTTTGATATTAAGAGACATATTCGGGAAATATAGTGATAAGTAATCAGAATAATGTAAGATAATTTCGAAATAAACTATAAGAAAAGTTCAGATAAAAACCCGAATATCATATTATAATTGTAAGATAGATCAAAATTAATTAAAAGCATGAAAAATTATATAATAAAGACAAAATTATGTTCTAATAGACAGTTGCTCACATAAATTTTATGATGTGACTTATACAAGAATTCTTTAAGTTTTAAGAAGCAATCTTCTAGAATCATATTGTGACAAAGGACAAGAGAATAAAATAATTGTTTTATAATCTAAAGTACTTGTTGTTAAATAAGATAGTTGATGATTATGAAAAACAAAGAAAAGATGTTATAAAATATAAAACATTGTCTTTGATTTGTTTACAACTTCATCATTTCGTACGTAATTATGTAAAGCCCCATCAGAGTATATTTATCTTTTTTGAAATTTGTTTTTAGAAATGGATTCGGTCAAAATAATACTTGCATTCGTTCTCCTTTCTAATTTAATGATTGTGAAAGGAGCCCGAGCAAAGGACTGTGCCGTGATAAAATGTTATTATCCACCTGGTTGCGAAGAGATACCAGCTGAGGGACAATGTTGTCCGAAGTGCAGAGGTATGTGTTGTTATTATCATTCCGAATTTTTTCCATTTATTGACTGTTGTTGTTGTTGTTTTTGTTTGTTTTATGTTGTTTGTTTGACTGTTTTTTATATTCATTTATAATATCGTACCTGTTTTATTTATTTGTTATTACAAATAATGGTTATGGGGAAATGTTTGACGACAATTTTTTTATTCATTTATTTATTTGTTTAATGTTTGTTTGTCTGTTTGTAATTAATTACAAACAGACAAACATTAATTAATTAATTAATTTATATATTAATTTATTCATTCATAAACTCGTGTGTGTTTTGTATTTGTATTTGTTATTACAAATAATGGTTATGAGGAAATGATTGACGACAAAATTTCAATTTAACTAAGTAACTTATACCATGTTTTAAATTAAATCATTGAGTGTATGAATGTCACTGCTATTCAAAACCTTGTCGTGACCTTTTCACTATATGTAGTATTATTAAAATAATATATATTATAAGCTGTTCAACTCGTTGTATAGACGCACAATAAATGTATTGATGAAAAACTGCAACATCAGGTCAGTGATGTAGCGGAGTTATAAAATCACTTAAGTTTTAGAGAGTAAAATTATGTATGATACAATTATTATTATTTTTATTATTATTATTATTATTCAAATTTTAATGTCAAAAAAGAGAAAAATGTATATAATAAACAGAAAATTCAAGTTTTTTCTATAAATACATGATTTATTTTCATCGAGTGGTATGAAAATAAATATTTCATGAGTGGCGGTAGCCACAAGTGAAATATGGTAATTTTCATGCCACAAGATGAAAATAAATCATGTATTTATAGAAAAAAAACTTGAATTTTCTGTTTATTATATACATTTTTCTCTTTTTTGACATTAAAATTTGAAAGACTTTACCTTAAATTTTGTGTACTGGCAGAAATTAAAAGAAAGTAGTCCGGCAAGACATAAGTGAAAATACGGAAAATATGTTGCACTGCAGTGAAAAATAAATTTTTACAGTGAAAATACGGAAAATGAAAATACGCATTTTATTTTATCAATATTTCTCAATATTTCATTTGTAAGTACTAGTATATAATAAATCTTGTTATTTACATACTAAACAACTGATCACATTATAGCATTAAATAAACGATACTTTCATCTAAATTGTTGACAAATGTGGCGGTTTTATAAAGATATTCAGGCGTAACAAACATATAGCAATTGCTGTTTATTTTCGGAAAATGTTACACCTGTATGCACTACCATTTAGATGAAAATACGTTAAGGTCCAGGTGAGCTGATATGTCTATAAAATGTTTTATTCGAGAAATATTAAAGCGTGAATCCTGGCCTTGAAGTTAAAAGCAAACAACTACTTTTTTAAAAAAAATATGTATCCCGATCTCAGGATCTTATTGGTCTATGCACATTATGTGGCTGCTACAAACTATCAAAGTTAATATTTCCCTTTAGACTATGTTCATCACTGACCATTACATCACATTGCTTTAAAACGGAATGTAACATGGTCAGAAAAATTCAATGAACAAATATTTTGTGTAAACGGGGACGGAGATTTTCGGTTAGATATCACAGGACCATTTGTGTAATTTACCATATGTTCGGAAAAAACGAGATCACAGGACCATAGGTTTAAAGTACCAAATGTCTGGAATGTCTCGGTTCGATATCACAGGACAATTTGTTTAAGTTACTAAATGTCCGAAATGTCTCGGTTCGATATCACAGAACGATTTATGTAATTTACCAAATGTCCGGAGTGTGACGGTGCGATATCGAAGGACCATTTGTTTAAGTTGCCATATGTCCCGAATGTCTCGGTTCGATATCACAGGACCATTTGTGTAATTTACCATATGTTCGGAAAAAACGAGATCACAGGACCATAGGTTTAAAGTACCAAATGTCTGGAATGTCTCGGTTCGATATCACAGGACAATTTGTTTAAGTTACTAAATGTCCGAAATGTCTCGGTTCGATATCACAGAACGATTTATGTAATTTACCAAATGTCCGGAGTGTGACGGTGCGATATCGAAGGACCATTTGTTTAAGTTGCCATATGTCCCGAATGTCTCGGTTCGATATCACAGGACCATTTGTTTAGTTTACCATATGTCCAGAGAGACTCGGTTCAATAACACAGGACCATTTGTTAAAGTTACCAAATGTCCGGAATGTCTCGGTTCGATATCACAGGACCATGCATTTAGGTAACCAGATGTCCGGAATGTCTCGGTTCGATATCACAGGACCATTTGTTTAAGTTACCAAATGTCCGGAATGTCTCGTTTCAATATCACAGGACCATTTGTTTAAGTTGCCAAAAGTATGGAGAATGTCGGTTCGATAGCACAGGACCATTTGATAAAGTTACCAAATGTCTGGAATGTCTCGGTTCAATATCACAGGACCATTTGTTTAAGTTGCCAAAAGTATGGAGAATGTCGGTTCGATATCACAGGACCATTTGATTAAGTTACCAAATGTCCGGAATGTCTCGGTTCAATATCACAGGACCATTTGTTTAAGTTACCAAAAGTCCGGAGAATGTCGGTTCGATATCACAGGGCCATTTGTTTAAGTTACCAAAAGTCCGGAGAATGTCGGTTCGATATCACAGGACCATTTGTTTAAGTTGCCAAAAGTCCGGAGAATGTCGGTTCGATATAACCAAATGTCCAGAGTCTCGGTTCGATATCACAGGACCATTTGTTTAAGTTACCAAATGTCTGGAATGTCTCCGTTCGATATCACAGGACCATTTGTTTAAGTTACCAATAGTCCGGAGATTCTTGGTTCGATACCATTTGTGTAATTTACCAAATGGTCCTATGATATTGTAACGAGACTCTCCGTCCCCCGTTCACAATCGTTTCGTTTGGATTTGTTTCGACCTTTGACATTACTTTGATAATAATATATGTAATGTATACGTTATTTTCTAACAGTAGTGTAGTATATGTGAGTGTTATTTGTTTTATGATTCCAAAATCAATTGTTTTACCATAGATCACGTCACATAAATTGCAATTAAAATGTAAGTAATAAGATATTTAGATGCAGCTGTTACTTTGTATATGTAATAAACAACATACTGTATTATCTATATTTGTGTAGGTTCAATGATAATTCTAACACTCTTCGTGATTGTGTCACTACAGACAAAGAAAAAAAAAACGGTGTTTACTTGCCAATAAACACTTGTTAGGGTCTATTTGTATAATCGGCTGTTATGTTTTCTTCCTAGATAATGTAGTTTACAAAGCTTTATAAAGCAATTTAATAATGAAAAAAAACAACAACAACATTAAATTGATATTTTCAGTTCTTATATTTAAGTTATAATGTTTTCTTTTCATACAATACTGAAATAGTATCTCTTATACACTAACACCACAGATTTGATCAATATCAGTTACAAAACGGCGCCAAACCGAATGCAGCGTAATGACGTAATCCTCATTATACATCTCATTCATAAAGGCGCTACAATGACGTCATTTCAAACATACAAGAATGATTAATCAAACAATCCAGCATGAGACGTGAAAACTTGATAAAATAACTTTTTTTCTTATTATTTCTTTTGTTTAATAATTTCTATAACTTAGCAACAGTAGGGTGCGAAATCAAACAGCGCAAAACGAAAATCGGCACCGGAAGTAATCTCCGCTTAAAAAATGACATTAAATGATCTTCATTATTTTATCATGTTAGAATCGAAAATATAGGTCTGAGCGGTGTTTATCGGTTATTTTGAAAAACTTCAAACCGGTGTTAAATAGCCGATAAACACCGTTAAAACTGATATCATTTCTTAAATATATCCGGCAATTTAAAACGATCTGCTAAAGCAACGTCCCAGCATTGTGTTATAAGGGGCAAAAAAACAAAAGTGAAAAATAGGTACTCTGTCAAATGTATATCTAACCATAATAAAGTTGCATGCATGAATAAATAAGCTGTTGATTTTTCAGGCGGTAAAAGTTGTAAATATGAAGTTGGTGAAGGGAGTGATAAAGTTAAAGTAAACATTCAACACGGAGAGAGCATACAGATAGAGTGTAATACATGTACCTGCATTGATGGCGTTCTTGCATGTACCGAGAAAGCTTGTTGTACGTTTTGTTATATTTTTGTCCGTAAATTAAAATACTTCTATATATAATATATTCATTTTATTCAATTGTTTCAAGCAGTTATTTAATATCATATACATGTATTATAAAACATGATATGTTACAATATTATATTACATCTTTTTTATTTACAGTGTAATTTATGCCATATATAAATGGAAACTTGCATGATGTTTCTACTCTGGAACAAGTTCTTGTCCTTCATTATATTCTTCACTAGCAATTTTTTCTGTGCGTCAGGATAAAAAATTCATTTATTTTATAGTTCAATTTAATTGCATATTAAATAGTCCCTTTTACTTAAATAAATAATATTCTTTCCAAAATATTGAGGTTCATCAATGTATAACAAAATTAATGATCATTAATCAACTTGTTTAATCTAAATATAAGACAGAGTATGTTTGTCTTTATAGATAGAAACTCTAGTTTGACTCAAAGTGCATTGTTTAGTAATAAGGTCAGTTAAGGAAATTGTAAGGTAAAATGGCCCGAAAGTTAAATGGGAAGTAATACCTTCCCTTCCAATAGTTTAAAATTAATGATGTTTAAACTTTGATTGAGATTAAAAGTTACATTCGACTGGTGTGTGTTTGGGGGGGGGGGTGAAGTTGTGTGGGAATGTTACTTCGCACCAAGTACATCTCTTAACGAAGTGTACCTGTAACTGAATGTGAACTATTGAAACATTGCATAAAATAATTGGCAAACTCAAGAAAAAGTAAAACCAATTTAACGAATTTTCAACTCAAACTATATTTTGCTTATATTTCATATACATTTGTGTAATTTACTTGGTACAGTTCATATGTCGATGGAGTCATATGAAACGAAAGCATGTGATTAAAGAATGCACCATCTGTCATTAAAGTTGGTGAGATTTAGATAGAGGAATAAATTGATTATATATTATAGGATTAAACTGTTATATGTATGTATTTCAGTGCCAGCTTGAGCATACAATTCACCACAGACGAACGAATAAAATCTACGACAGCTAATGCCTACTAAATCGGATCTTAAATTGAAACAAAAATGCTTTTGAACTTTGAACTGTTACGCAAAAAACTTTTACACAAATGTTCAATAAATTATAATAATTATATTTTATTTCATTTTGGGGCATGTTATGCTTAGTAGTTGATAATGACCCCGTATTTTCTAGAAAACTCAAATCATTCATAAGATGATTAAATAAATTTCGTAAAGATATAAAAATCGAATATATATCATGTTGTCTATATTTTCCACATATAATAAAGCCCACTTAAATAGAAATACGTATAGATACACGTTTATGTTTGACATCTTAGTTTGATCTCTTTAAAAAAAGTTACTTGGAAAAAGGAGAATCAATAACTGCAAATGTTAAAGTGCCATTATGCTCATTTTGTCATTGTATGGTTGAGCTGAGTCGACCATATATTTCGAAAGATTAAATGTTCTAATCATGGTTGACCAGCAGTTGATAACGGAAAAAAATATATAATACATGTCATGCTAACGTGTGCTCGTCTTAATTCAAACCTGAACCTATAAAATTCAGATCAAGGTGAGAAGTGCGCATCACAACATCTCTATACTCAAGGCAAAATCTTGACATTGCATCATCTTAGGTGACCTCTGATCTGGTGACCTGGGTTAATGTGCATGACACAAAGTCTCATGATGAACATTTGTGCCTTAAAACTCAAAACATGTTATTTGAAAATTTCTCTTTGCACAAAGAAGTTATTGCCTGAACAAGTTGGGATGCATGCACGCACACACAAACACTAAGAAGCCTTTTTGACAATTATGTTGAGCTCAGAGCAAGCAGGTTTAACAAAAATCCTCTTAAAACTAAGCAAAATACAGTGCAGACATTCAAATTTTGTTTTTATTTGACGTTTGACCTCTTGTGATCTTGACCTTTTGCGAAAAATATGACAAACAAGATCAACAAGGAAAAGCGGCGTTCAATAAACGCAACCCCCACACGACCCACGAACAAGAAACAGCGGCAAGGAGCCAAGGAGGACCCAAAACAAAAACAAGACAGGGCGCAAGGGAGAGGCTTATCACTAAAATGTTATATAAGAAATAATAGTAACCGACAAGGAAATCAAGATAAAAGAAAGCAAATAATGATTGATTAATAGGCAAGACAACTCAACTCACCATAAAAAACATTTGTTTTAAGTAATATTAAAATCAATCTATGTACATGTATATAGAAGTTATACTCACAAATGAATGCTTTGATGTGTAATTTTCCTTTGGTCATGAAGTAAGACCTTGACCTTTGCCATAGACACCTAAATGTTTCGAAGAACAATCCGCTTCAATATGGAGAAGATTTGTCCCCAGTTATATTAAAATTCCGTCAAACAATTAGAAGATACGCTCTGGACTTGTGTTTTGGGTCGACCCCAGGTGTGACCTTGACTTTGGAGTTGCGGAACTGGGTTTTGTGTGTGACAAACCAACCCATCATGGTGAAAATTGTATCAAACTATTTTGTAATCCTTCAGGAAATAAGAATGATATAACCCAAACAAATCTAAATGAACGCACGGACTGACGGACATACTTATTTAACCGCCAAAAGAGAAAAGTGGTGACTAAGTTGACCTCATCATAAGGGGGCTCACCAATTTAAAAATCTTCTAACTAGTATGCATAATACTTCTAAGCATACGCAAGATACAGCACCAACAAACAAATGTTATTATTTCTATTTGACCTTTGACCTCTTGTGACTTTGACCTTATTTTTGCGTGAGACAACTCAAGTCAACATGGATAACATTTGTGGTAAATTATTGAATTTCATCTATGTTTAAAAAAGTTATACTCGCAAATAAATGCTTATATTTTGTTTTTGACCTTAAACCCCTGTGACATTATCCTTTACCACAGACACATGAACTTTTCGTGCGACACTCCGCCTCCCTCCCTATGGAGAACATTTGTCCCGAGTTATATATAAAACCCTCTATGCATGTGAAAGTTGAGCTCTTAACTTGGGTTTTGCGCTTACCCCAAAGTGTAACTTTAACCTTTGAGCGGTGGATCTGGGTTTTGTGTGCGGCGACATGTCAACCCATTATGGTGATGGCTTGTACAGACAAATTATTCTATAATCCTTCAAAGACTGAAGAAGAAACAGCGCCAACAAACAAATTTCAATATTTTTTTGCCTTTGATCTCTTATAACCTTGACTTTTATTTTGCGCGAGACATGGAGAACATTTGAGCTAAGTTATATTAAATGCATCCATATATACTGTATACTTTCAATGTTTTTTGTTGTTGTTATTTTACCTTTGACCACTTATTGTGACCTACATTATCATAGACACCTGAATTATTCGCGCGGCACTCCGCCTCTCTACGAAGAACATATTCCGAATTTCTATCAAAATCCCTTCATAAATGTCGAAGTCATGCTCCTGACACGGGTTTTGCGCTGGCCCCAAAATGTGACCTTGACCTTTCAGCGGTGAACCTGGGTTTTGTGTGCGAAATACTAGCCCATTATGGTGCACATTTGTACCAATTAATTTTGTAATCCTTAAAGAATGAGCAAGATATACACCGGAAAATTCGTGCGGAAGAGCTTACGCACGGACGCAAATACACCGAACTATACGTAAAAAGTGGCGACTAAGTCGAGTGCACCGCAAGCGGGCTAGACAATAAAAAGGCTGTTCCACCCTTTTTTATAAATTGACGATGCAAGTTAATTCCGATGGATATTTATAGAAATTCCCTGGGTCACGTTAGTTTTCGACCGTTTATGCGAAGCAAATCATGACATTGACAGGAATTACGGCAAAACGTAAAGTTATTTTCACTTTAACCTATTTACTAACTATATACGCTTTGATTGACAAAATGCCACAATAAAAGTGTGTTCTGTGTATGAACGGGTTCTTGATGACATAATATCAAAATTAAACAAGAGGGCCATTATAAAATTTAATGTTTCCTGTAGAGCCAGTAATGAAGCTGCATAGAGTTTGTCATTAAGAAAATATTTTAGATGTCTGCTACAAAATGCTTCAAGATAAATATTTATGCTCCTGACAGGGTAATTTTACACAAGAAGAATTAATTAATTGTTTCACTATGGTCTATATAATCTAATAATCTAAGTTACCCCAGGCTGGGCCAATTATGGCCCCATGGGAATTACTATAAAACTATTAAAGAAGACTACAAGATGACGTTACATGTTAAAACTCAAAGCTTTAAGAGGTATGTTTACATCTTTACTGTACAAGTAAGTTAAATATCGGGGTGCATCCAATGTAGACTCTGTTCTCATGATCTACGTTACTTTTGAATGTCTACTTGACAAAGCTAAAATCTCTTTTTTTTTCAAAATGTTTAAGATGTTTTATATTGTTTTGTTTTGGGTTTAACGTCACATCGACACAGTATAGGTCATATCGCGACGTTCCAGCTTTACTGGTGGAGGAAGACCTCAGGTGCCCTTCCGTGCATTATTTCAGGCACGAACGGGCACCTGAGTAAAACCACCGACGTTCCGTAAGCTAGCTTAGCTTCGTCGGGCCCATGTGGATGATTTTCTTGCTGCTCTGCCTTCCTATAAGACATTGTGTACTTTTGTTATGGTCATCCGGTTAACTTTTGTATGTTTCTTTTTTGCGTTCTTTAGGGAAAAAGTTTTTTTTAAATTATACTTATTTCACCTTTTGCAACCACGGGGACCGTTAAATTTTGCTTGGCGGGAATTTGTTTAGGGCTAAGAGGGAGGCTTGGTGCACTATTAACCGGTTTAAACTGCCTGGCAGTGCTTATGCTGCGGACTACTCCATGCGGCGCACCTCTATGTTGCTTATAAATTATATCTTGTTGATCGTTTACTTGCAATTTTGGTAACCGAATTGTGTCCCTTCTTGTTTTTCTCGTCTACGGTAATTATCACCCCTTTTACCCTTCTTTTTTCAAACCCCACCCTTCCCTGTCATTCATATTGTTATATATCATATATCAAGTCGTCCACTTATATGAAACTGAAGTGTTTGAACAATTATCGCCGTTAAATTATCAAATATGAATAAGATTGCACTATAAAATCAAAAATAACTCTTTAACAATTCTGTCTTACCCAATGATGATAAATGTAATAAAGAAAAGAAGTGTTTAAATGTCAATGAGAGGAAGAAATGTGATGATAAAAGTGTAAACGAAAGTAATGCAGAAAAAAAGTGTTTAAGTGTCAATGAGAAGAAGAAATGTGATGATAATAGTGTAAATGAAAGTGATAAAGAAAAGAAGTGTTTAAGTGTCAATGAGAAGAAGAAATGTGATGATAATAGTGTAAAAGAAAGTGATAAAGAAAAGAAGTGTTTAAAAGAAAGTGATGAGAAGAAATATGATGATGATGATTTTAAAGTTGAAGATGATGTTAATAGTGTCAGTGATATGAGTAATGAAGGTGAAGATAATGAAAATAAGAGGTGTTCAAGTGTTAGTGGAGAAGGAAAATGTGACAATGGTATATTGAATGAAGTAATGGGTAATAGAATGAAAGTGTGTAAAATAAGAGATGAAAATGATGATGGAAATGAGATAAATGAAGAGAAGATAGACGAAAAAGTTGAGATGAATAATGAAGTTAAAAAGGATGTTAAGATGAATGAAGTCGAAAAAGAAGTTGATGACAAAATAAAGATGTTAGGTGAAGAAAAGGAAAAAGATGAAGAAATATATCGTGCTACGAAATTAATTCTAGATGAAATGAGTAGAGAAGATCAGAAGTTGACAGAGCTAGATGAAATAGTAAGAAAGCCAAAGAGAGAGATGGTATGGAAAAGGTCAAAAGATGGAGTGTTGCGAAGGGTGTTTAAAAAGGAAATAGGTAGAACTGAATCTAATTTTGAAGAAAATAATACGGAGGTAGATCTAGAAAGTAAAGAGAATGACAGTGAATCAGATGGAAATGACTTTTGTAAGAAAGCATCAGAGTTGTTGAAAGTAGGAGTGATGCCACTGGTGCCACCGGGCAGAAGAGATTGGAAAGGGGATAATGAATTTCATATACATCTAAATGGCTGCGATTTTACTTGGCCTCCACAACAATGGCAACAAATGACCCCTGACCGTCGACTAATGGCCTGGGAGCACACGGCTTTCCAACTCGAATATTTGCAGAATGGAGTTCTTAGTCCAACAATGTCTAGAAGCTTTCTGTTAGACAAATATAACTTTCT